AGCACCAATCCTCACGTTGCCGGAGAAAACGGGAGAATTCATAGTTTACAGTGATGCATCTAAACTCGGGTTGGGAGCTGTACTTATGCAAAATGGGAAAGTCATAGCTTACGCCTCACGCCAACTCAAGGAGTACGAACAGAGTTATCCAACGCACGATCTCGAATTAGCCGCCGTCGTATTCGCACTCAAAATCTGGCGACACTACCTCTATGGTGAAAAATGTACCATCTACACCGATCACAAAAGCCTGAAATACTTTTTCACTCAGAAGGATTTGAACATGAGGCAAAGAAGATGGCTTGAACTAGTCAAGGACTACGATTGTGAGATACTCTACCACCCCGGTAAAGCTAACGTTGTTGCCGACGCCCTCAGCCGCAAGTCAATAAACGCCCTCACTGTTCAGCCCACTTTAAAGGAATCGATCAAAATAGCTCAACAACACGACCCGCAAATTCTCAAGATTCACGACAACCTCGAATCCCATCCAAACTTTCGAATCTCCGAGGAAGGACTTGTTCGATTCCAAAATCGAATCTACATTCCTGACGACCCGAACGTTCGCCGACTAATCCTAACCGAGGCTCATCAAACTACGTACACATGCCATCCCGGTGAGACCAAGATGTATCACGACCTCAAAAAGTTATACTGGTGGCCCGGAATGAAGAAAAGCGTGGCTCGATTCGTCGCGGAATGCTTAATATGTCAGCAAGTCAAGGCGGAACATCAGAGGCCCGGCGGCTTACTTCAATCAAACTTAATTCCAGAATGGAAATGGGAAGCCGTTACGATGGATTTTGTGCAAGGGTTTCCAAAGACCCAAAAGGGATCCGATGCCATTTGGGTGATTGTCGACCGATTGACCAAATCGTCTCATTTTCTCCCGATCCGAATGACTTTCAGCTTAGACAAGCTAGCCGAGCTATACGTTCGAGAGATCGTTCGACTTCATGGCGTTCCCGTCACTATTATTTCTGATCGAGACCCTCGATTTACGTCCAAATTCTGGAAAAGCTTACACGAAACCCTCGGTACACGATTAAATTTCAGCACGGCCTATCACCCACAAACCGATGGTCAATCCGAGCGAACCATCAAAACCCTAGAAGATCTGCTACGCGCTTGCATTCTCGACTTTGGAGGAAATTGGGAATCCCGTCTCCCATTAATCGAATTCGCGTACAACAATAGCTTCCACTCATCAATTGGAATGGCACCATATGAAGCTCTATATGGTCGTAAGTGTCGATCACCACTTCATTGGGACGAAATTGGCGAAAGAAAATACCTCGGCCCTGATTTGGTGCAACAGACCGTCGAGATAATCCAAAATATTCGGGAAAAGATGCGTGTCGCCCAAGATCGACAACAGAGCTATGCCAATTCTCGTAGGAGAGACTTAGAATTCGAAGTCGGAGACTCCGTGTTTCTTAAAGTGGCACCTTTCAAAGGGATTATGCGGTTTGGGAAAAAGGGAAAGTTAGCACCACGATTTATCGGCCCATTCGAAATTCTCGATAAAATTGGTACCCGCGCCTACCGACTAGCCTTACCACCCAACTTGTCCAATATTCACAACGTATTCCACGTTTCGATGCTCCGCAAATATATACGAAGTCCGGACCACATCTTAAAAACCGAACCGATCGAATTATCTCCCAACTTAGCTTACGAAGAAAAACCCTCCCAAATACTTGATTCCAAATCCAAGACCCTTCGAAACCGAGAAATCCAATTTGTTAAGATTCTTTGGCAAAATCATACACCCGAAGAAGCCACGTGGGAAAGGGAAGAGGAAATGCGTAAACGTTACCCGGAATTGTTCGGGTCAGGTAACAATTTTGGGGACAAAATTTCTTTAAGGGGGGGGAGATTGTAACACCCCACCTTTCCAAAACCGTAAAAGCCGAAATTAATATTTCAAAACTCGAGAATCCTTAGGTAACGTTATTACGTGAATTTAATTATGTGAATTAGTTATGTGTTATATTTAATTGGTAGATTTATTTTTCTAACAAATTTATGTGAATTATGTGAATTAGAATACTATATGGTATATTTGATTAATTAAGTGTGATAATGCACTACCCTAGACTATCCTATACCTATATAGACCCATACTTGATAGCATACATGCATACATACATGAATTTTGCATGCATTGCTTTCTTATGTAATATTATATTATATATGTATATGTATATAACCGTGTGAGTGTGTGTGTTAGTCAAAAGGTGGGTAATTTAAATAGATATTTAATTAGTAATTTCACATGGCACATAGTTTAATTCTACACTCAACACCTCAAAAGACACTCTACTAAATTCCTCTTGCAACACCTCACCCTACTACTTGTCTTCCTTTCTTCATTCCACCGAGACCTCACCTCCATCTCCATCCTTCATCTTCTTCCACATTAACTCCCATTTTTCAAAGAAAATGGAAAATCATTTCAAATTTCCCCCTATTTAACCAAGGACTTGGAGCATCCGAAAACACCATTCACCAAAAAGAAATATACATTTCACTTGAAGATCCACTCCATCTCCTTCACCATCAAAATAATTTGGCTAGAGCTTGGCATCAACCTTTGAAGCACTTCCCTTCGATCTTTCCTTCATTGTTCTTTCGGTCATTAAGGTAAGAAATTTCGAGTTTCTTGCTGCAATTAGAAGATATCATATTATTCCAAAAGAGTTTTCAAGATTTCCTAAAAGACTTTTAAGTATTTCGAAATTTAGGGCTTTTTGGGGAAAAATGGAAAAGAGGTGTTTAGTGTTAATTTCTTGTTCTTGCATGCATCATCTATGTTGGTAGTGGGTAGATACAAGTTTTATTGGCCAAAAACATCAACAATTTCAGATTTCGAAAAGGGGGTTTCAAGAAAATGAATTTCGAACTTTTATGGGGTTGCATGTGTAGATCTTAATAAGTTTTGGGCCAAATCTGTAATTTTTGAGAAGTCCGGCCTAAATGTGTTTTCAAAACTGTTTTTCAGCATTTATTGAACAAAAATTTCGGATTTAAAGAAGTTTTGCAAGAAAAAGTGGTTTTTGAACTCTTAGTGGTATTGCATGTGAAGATCTAGAGATTTTGGGGTAAATTATGTAATTTTCGAAATTTCTGCATAAAGTGACTTTTCAACTTCGATTTCTGCATCTAATAAAATAGAATTTCAGACTTGTTAAGGGTTTTTCATGGAAAAGTGGATTTTGAACTTCTAGTGTGGTTGCATGTGCAAATTTTGAAACTTTGGGGTCAAAACTGCAATTTTCGAAAAATCTCTCATTTCTTGATTTTGAATCTGTTTTCCAGCAAGTATTAAATAAGAAAAAAAAAAAAAATTTCTTTACAAAGGTTTTCAAAATATTAAAGTCATATTGGAGTTTTGAATTTTTTTAAATTACAAAAGGTTTTATATTTGTTTTAGTTTTTTTTATTTCGGGAAAATTCGAAACTTTGTGAAAACTCGAATAAATTTCAGAATCTGAAATTTGGATTAGTTAGGAGTTCTAGGATTTAATTTGAGAATTTTTAAAGATCTTTTACTATTATTTCGAATTTTAAAGGTTTAGGTACTAATTATGAAGTTCTTGTGCTTTAAGTGCTATGTCTTGGAATTGTGTGATTTAAATTGTAAAGCATGGGATTATGAATATGGATTTGTGGCAGAAACATATTTATGAGGCTGCTGGAATTTATTAAGATGAAATTAATGAGTGAAAGTGGTGAGAAACCAATTAAATGATGGAATAAAAGTGTCTTTACTTTAAAGACATGATTGTGCTATTTATTATGCATGTTTATGGTTGCATGGCATATGCATGTATGTGATTGTGTGTGTACGTGCGTATATGTGGGCAGAATGTGTGTGTATGTGGTAATGATATATGTGTTGGTTAAATGTGCAATTAAGTGGTTGATAATTGTATTTGATTGGGGTGGTTATTCACTTGATTGATATTTGTGATGTTTTAATGACTTGCACATAATTTGTGGTCATTCCACGACATGCATTTGCTTTTGATAAAATTGAAAGATTAATGGAATGTTTGGGTAATAAACGAATCGGATACGGTGGGCCGGTATCCAACTAGGGTTGAGAGGAGTGATACGAGTGATATGAGTGATATTGGATCCATAGACGGGCTCGAAACGGTTTATTATCCGAATATAGAAATTAATCTTTCACGGATCCGATAAATGAAAAAAATGATTTTTACACGGATTGCATTCATGAGCATGTTTGTGACTTATATGCTTTCGTACCTTTTGACTCGATTCTTGTTTGATGTTGTATGACTCGGTAAAGGTGATCGGAATGTTATATATACTATATATATGTATAACCTATTTTCAACCCTCGGTAATTCCTCGAGTTTCTTACTGAGCTTAATAGCTCATATAGATATTTTCTAATTGCAGGTAGTGCTAGTGGTAACCCTCCCCCGGAATGGACCGAGTAGTGGATCGAAGTCTTGCCCGGAGTTTTTGGAAGTTCGAACGAGGGTTCTATAAGTGTGGCTAAGTACTATTTTGGTGATGTAATATAAAGTAACTTCCGTTTCGTTTACTATATATCGTACTCGTTTTTAAAGTACGGGACTTTAATCGGTAACGGATCCTCTTTTGGAACTTTATAATATATTGATCCGTTTATATTTATGAATAGTTCGTTTATTCCGTGCTTTTATCGTTCGTCGCCAAAATATTTCTAAACTCTGATTTTTATTTCGAACCTACGTTTTATGATAATGTAGCACTCGAATAAAATCCTTCTCAAAAAAAATAAATATATATATAAATATAATCGTCTCAAGCTTTTCAAAACAATGTTGCGAAAATTACTGGAATTCTAAATATTCAAGTATGGTTTTTTTTAAAATCGAAAGTGTTGATTTTCTTGGAGATCCTATAAATTGCTTCCGCTAAACAACTTAATTCCGATAAACCGGTTCGATTTATCGCCTATAATAGAGGGGGTGCTACATGATTCATCAAATCTACACATTTTCCCCAAGCTTCATTATGTGCACTATTAGGACCTCCTACATGAGCACGTAACTTTTCATTTCTCTTCCAATTACTAAATCCTTGAGTAACAAAATGATCACCACCCGATTGACCTCCGATGTCTGGCTTAAAAAGATAACAACATAAACAATATGCAGCATCTTTGGATACACTATACTCCAACCAAGTACTATATTCGGCGAACCAAAGTTTATTAAATTTTCTATTTTGCTTGCCATAAATTGTGAGAGGAAATACGTGGTTATTCGGTTGGCAAGGACCTTTTTGTAAATATGCTCTACGAACTCGGTCTCGATCATTAACATTATATTGCAAGATACCATGCCTTTGTCCAGGATCTGCAGGAAGATCTTCTAAGTTGATCTCTTGAAGTGGTTTATTGGAAGAAGATTCATCACCACCTTGGGGAGGAGGTGTTTTTTCTCTTTAAATATCTCAACATAGCTATTTAACAAGACAAAATAAAATATATCAGTAAAAAGATAATAGGTTCAAGACAATAATAATTAAAGAAAAAGAACTTAAAATTCACAAACTGTCATATTTTAGTGTAGTTATGTACTAATAAAGTATTAATAATAATTATTGTAATAATGCCACTTCATGTATAATATTATAATAATGAGTAGTGGATTAATAGAATAATAATATTGTTATATTTCATGAGAATTGAGGGGGGAAAAGTCTCCAGTATTAGATATAAATTGAGGAAACAGAAGTAGAGGAAACCAAAACTCCCACTGTAAGTCTTCTGTCTTCTGTCTCCTTTCTCGTTTTTTTTTTTTTTTTTTTTTTTTCTTTCTTCCTTTTCTTCTCATTCTCACCATTTCAATTAACCAACACTGCAATTTATCAATTCAATTTCTTTCTTTCTGTCATTTGTCAATTATATCCACATTCAATAAATCCCAATTCCTTAAATTTAATTTTCATCATTATCATCAATTAATCACATCATAAGAGTTTCCATTTTCCAAATTTCCATTTGTTTACTTTCATAAGATAATACATAAGCAAGAAACATAAATATCAAGTCGATTAATAAAATTACACAATCGATTCCTAATTGATATACAATCTGAAAATTAAGATGATAAAGAAGTCGACAAACCTTAATCAATTAGAATATTTGGAACCCAAAATATCGTTTTCTTGATGGGCGCCTGATTGCCGGAGGGTGGTGATTTCCGGTAAGCAAGGGCTGTAGAAGAACGAGAGAAGCTTTTTTTTTTTTTCCTTTTTCCGTAAAGGAACGAGAGAGAAAATGTCCAAGAAAAGGGAAGAGGTAATTGTAAAATTAACAAATTTGGGCTTTAAATGAGTGGGCTTAATAATATATTAGTGGGCTAAAAAAACAAATATAATAATAGATATATTATATGAGTTAATTGCACATAACCCCCTGTGTTATTTCGAATTGCTAAAAAAGTCCCCGTGTTATAAAAATTAGCAAGAACCCCCTTGTGTTGTGCTTTACAAAGCCAACTGCCCCTTTACTTCAAAATCTGACGTTGACTTAAATGAAATGACTAAACTATCCCAATAAATTTTTAATAACATTTTAATTTTATAAGATTTTTTTTTTAATTCAATATAATAAAATTAAACGAAATTAAATATGGAAATTGTTCTATTTTCTTCCCACTTCCGGCTTCCGCCCCACCCAAAACAAGCCTCCTTCCTCATCCAGCATCCACCACTGTACCACCACCACCCACCACATCAGCCCCCCCACCCCACCCTAAACAACTTCTCCTTTCACCAGTACATATCAGCGGCAGCCTAGATTTCACCTTCGATGAAAACATTGAAAACAAAAATCCAAAAACGCAAATAGATCCAACGCCGCTCTTCGCCGGACCAATTTACATTACGAGCTCTGTAGCTGAAATGGTGGATGGGTTCATCGGCGTCGTCCATGCCCAAGTGATGACGGGAGTGCCCAGAGACGAACGAACAGAAAAATCCATCGCAGTGCAAATAGAGACGAGGTTTGTTTGAATGGCAGTACACTATTGCTCTCACCACTCCACAAAAATCACACAGTGGCAAAGGCTCACCCATTTTGATTTGGAGAGATGGCCTTTTAGAAAATATGAAGGACTGAATTGAAAATTCTGAGAATTTTGTTTTGGGTCTTATAAAGTTTTTTAGGTGAATTTATAATTTTTGAAATTTGTGATTTAAAGGATAATATTGTCTTTTCACGTCAACCCCACAACCCCAGTCGCATAATTTGCGCGTGTAGCACACTTCCAGCTTATAGGGGCTTTATTAGCTTTGACTAACTTTCATAGGGTGGTCAGTGCTAATTATTTTAACACAGGGACTTTTTTAACAATTAGAAATTACACAAGGGTAGTTTTTGCAAAAAACCCTATATTATATACTAGAAAAACTTAAGAAAATGAGGGGGGGCTTGAGTCCACCCTAGCCCTTGGGTGGACTCGCCCTGGTTGCAGGTACACCCACGGAAGGATCTTTTTCAACCTTAGAAGACGAAGGAAGCCTCACAGACCAAATCAGGACGGTTGAGATCGGCGAGGAGGAGGTTGAAGACGGTGATGCGATTGGTGGCGCCGTCGCATCGGACCACTTGATTCCAGTCGCAGCAGTCGGTTTGTGGGTCTCATGCAGAGATGAGGTTGCTGTTTGGAGGGCTGTTGAGGTATTTCCTGATTTTTAGGAGGGCTTTTTTGTCATTTGGGTGGCATCTCTGTGAAAATGCAGTGTCGGTGTGGAAGGAGAGAATAAAGAGCATGGATATTATGAAACAATGCAAGTGGTTGATTGCGGCCATGGCTGAATATTTTTTGAATTTTTTGGATTTTCGCATGTATATACTAAAAAAACAAATTAAATTAAATTAAATGCTATATATATATATATATATATATATATATATATATATATATATATATATATATATATATATATATATATATATATATATATATATATATATATATATATATATATATATATATATATATATATATATATATATATCTATCTATATATATATATATATATATATATATCTATCTGGTCGAAATGGTATCCAACCATTTAATATATATATATATATATATATATATATATATATATATATATATAAAAAATAAAATATATATATATATATATAT